GATAGACTGGATGTGACAACAGTCTTAAGACTGAACTGAAGGGAAGTTCCCGACCACCCCCAACACACACACACTTCTTTATTCTCTAATGAAATACAGACAGATTTTCCCACACGTTAGGATCTCAGTGGCTGGCAGTGCATCTCATGAGTTGCTGTGAAAAAGTGTTGCCAAGTTATCTTTGTTCAGCTTAATGTTTACTAGATTGATAAATGCCTTCACCTGTCATATTTAGCCGTAGAGGTTATTCCTCTACTGTGAGACTGAAGGGCCTTGGGGTTGGCTGACACTGTGGGTTAATAATGTCTCAACAGACAAGCTATTAGGAGATGAAAAGAAACACAGCTATTCAGGGCTGTTAACTTTTTTTTATGATTTCACCACTGGAAAAACTTGTTTTTAAACAGGTTAACAGCAAATTGGCCAAACAGGCTTAAATGTGACATAAGCCACTGCAGCTACAGTCTGATTTCAAGGCCTCAGCCTTTGGAGCAAGTAAAGGCAAGTAATCAAAACTAATGACAGTTTTCATCCTTTAAGGCGAGGCAACATTAGGTAACACTGCAATATTTCTGCTTGGAGGTGGTTATGCATATTTCAAACTTCATATAATATTTGAGGAGGCAGGAGGGATATAAATAGACATGGCTGGGGCTCAGGGGAAGCAAACCCCACTACCGACTGCTTCCAGTTTGATCCCCGATGTTACTCTAAATTCCCACCGTGCTGCTATTATAACATGCACTAAGTTGCTCTCCTCGCCTTCACATACTGACTGATGCCAGGACTTATATCTGGCTGCGTGGCGGTGACCTCGGGTTACCTCCTTCAGCTGATCCAGTTCCTGTCGGACCGTCTCGTAGTCCGTCTCCAACTCATCAAATCGCTGCTTGAGCTGCTGTTTCTCCTCCAGCACCGCCAGCCCATACTCAGCCGCCTGGATCTTCTCCTGGGTCGTTTCGCGAAGCTCCCGGGTCAGACGCTCCACTTCGACTTGGAGCCACTGCGGCCCGGCTTCTGTCACCAGTACCGCCTCAGGATATTCCTGCTCCTCCATAGACATCTTGGCGAGCCGCCGACTCCCAACCGTAACGGGACCCAGCCCTAACTAGCGGGAGCAGCGGAGCAAACCACCAAGACCGCAAATCACTACCTTCTTTGTTTGGGGCGCATTGTTGGGCTTAAACTGTGTTTAGCTTCCCGGCCTTTCACTCACTGCGGACCTCGACGGAGCTCAAACTGGACAACAGTTTGCTCATTCTCGATATTTTTCTGCCTCTTCTTGAAGCTGACAGAGGAAACTTCAGTTGAGCTCATCGATTAGAAAAAAACGCTCCCCCTACACGGCATTCAAATCAGCGTGACTACGAAGGGAAATGTAGTTTTCAGTGAGGCGCGCTACCTCAAGGACTCTTTGCTTCTGAAGCCGCGTTGACTTCAAGTACCAGAATGCATTGCGTCTGCCGAGACATGACCCCACAGTTTATTGAAACGCCATCTAGAGAATCAACTGTGAAACTGCAACTATAATTACATTGCATATTTATTAGGATCTTTATTAGAGTTTATGGGTATTTTTGTTATAGTCACTTGTCGAATGAACACTAGATTAGTTAATTATAGAAATATGATCTTCAGTCACTTTATTTATTAGGTACACCTGTTCAACTGCTCGTAAGCGCAAATATCAAATCAGCCAATCACATGGCAGCAATTTAATGCATCCAGGCATGTAGACATGGCCAATATTATCTGCTGAAGTTCAAACTGAGCATCAGAATGTGGAAGAAAGGTGAGTTAGGTGACTTTCATTTAAGTTTTATGATTGATGGTGTCAGGCAGGCTGGTTTGAGTATTTTACTGCTGCTCGACTGAGATTATTGCAGACAACCATCTTTAGGATTTACAGAGAAAATATCCTGTGAGCATGGTTGATGTCTGCTTCAAGCTCATAGGAAGGCAACAGTAACTCAAATGGCAATTCACCACAACTAAGATGTGCAGAACAGCATCTCTAAATGCACAACTCGTGCAACGTTGAAGAACATTAGCTACAGTATCAGAAGACCACAGCGGGTTCCATACAAGTGGCAGCTAAGAACAGGAAATTGGACAATAGACGATTGTGGGGAAAAAAAACATTGCATGATCTGATAAGTCTTAATTTCTGCTGAAACATTCTGATGGTAGGGACAGAATTTGTTATAAGATGAAAGCATGGATCCATCTTGCCTTGTATCAGCTGCTCATGCTAATGCTGATGGCGCAATGGTGTGAGAGATATTTTCTTTGGAACACTTTGGGGTTCTTAGTACTAACTGAGCATCATTTAAATGCCACAGTCTACCTGAATTCTGCTGTTAGCCATGTCCATCTGTTTACACTGTGGCTATCTTCTATTGACTGTTTCCAGCTGGATAACCGTCTTCAAATGATCTCAAACTGGTTTCTTGTACATGTTCACTGTACTCAAATGACCTCCACAGTCATCAGATATCAATCCAATAGAGCACCCTTGGGATGTGATACAATGGGAGATTTGGGTCATGGATGTGCAGCTGACAAATCTGCAACTATCTGTAACTAAAAAAGGGGGCTAATGAATATAAATATATTTTAAAAAATCACAAAAAATATTTAATATTTTGTTTATGTTCTTCTTTATTAGAGAATGGAAAACGTTTATTATAAAAGTAGCTGGCAATTAAGTACTTTTAGAAGTCTTGTTAAATGGTCAAAAGGTATCTGTCATAAATCTGCTCATGAACTACGTTGACTGACACCAAGTTGTGGTCATGTGATCAAAGAGTGCAAAGAGTGTCGGTTTTTTTGTGTAAAAATTTGAATGCCAAACAACTGAGGACCTGATTCAAATCTAGTACTTCACAAGGTGACAGAGCACTGTCTTATTGTTTTTAACCTTTGACACACGTGAATGTGAAAGAAAAACTGTGTCAGCGGGACTTCCATTCAGTGGTAATTCTTGGTACTGACAGTCCTTGGCAGCAGTTTGAGGAAGTTGTCTACTGAATGCTGTTTGTTTTGTTCAGCTACACCTGCCTGGGGACTTCAGGAGCAGCTGAGCTGAAATGGTGTGTACACCTGCGTTTCTGCCTTTCGCTGAGGTTTTCTATCTACGATTGTAGCTCTTGCTCTGTGTAGACACATTGTGTTATAAATATAACAATGTGTCTACACAGTGTGTCTATTGCTGCTTTCACTTTCTCTCACATGCTTTTTTTTCTTATTTCCTATCAAGCAGCAGTATGCTGTATTTTTTATCCATCAAGCTACTGATCATTTCTTTTTCAGGAGTACAAAAGGAATTTAATTTTTGACTTTTATCAACACTGTATGTATATCTATTATGTTTATTTATTATCAGCAGATTTGGCAGAAATGTTCCTTTATGTAGAATATTCATTTGAAACCTATTATTCTGAACATTTCAGATAAATATTACCATTTCTATTCAATCTGCTTTGGACTGGGATGTGGAATGGCTTTCTATAGGCCATTTCGAAGTAAGTTACACTTTTTAAGCCGCTGTTCAAAGTAATTAACCCCTGGCTGAGCCAAGATTGATTAACAACCCATTTATTATTTTTGCTTTCACTTTCAGCACTCTCAGTTCCAGTATGTCTTGGTATATTTTGCACCATAGCGTTTGAGATTCTGGGCATGTTTACTGGTAAGTAGAATTTTTTTATAAAATTCACAAAAAAATTTTAAGCGAAATTTTTTTTCCAAAAAGAAAAATGTAATTTTACATAATGCACTGCAGGTTTTGCTTGTCACAATGTCTGTGTTGACTTTTCTACCCTGCTCAGGCCTGCCTGCCCATACTAAAAGATGTAAAGGTGCGCCCTACAACAAAGGAGGTACTTCCTGCTGCTATATCAAAGTCAGAATCCTAATTTTACATCCATATTTAGGTTTTGTATAAAAGCTAAACATTACCATCAAACTCTCCTTAGATATCTACTGGGGATTTGCTGTTGCACTATTTGTTGCTTTGTTGCACCTCCACTCATATCATGGTAAGACCACAATACTTTAAATATAAGACTTTATAGAATACATGGAATATTCAGATACTCAGGGGATATACTGTTTTAACTGTGGTTAAATATTGTGTATTTCAGTTTACACACTATCGTATGGATGTGGAATCATAACGTTTGCTCTTAGAGGAGCAAAACGGAAATACAGCTCTCTGAGGTTTGTCCTCTTTACAAACTATTTTTGCACATTCCTGTAGAACACAGACTGTATAAAGAGCAGTGCTTATCAAAGTTTAGGGTGAAGAGTGTAGAAGGCCAGTGGGAAATATGGAGAGGAAATATGTTCAGTCAAAATGCTCGATCTACAAGCAAACACGGGTTTTCTTATATTATGGCACTGATCTTCATTTAACTAAACTTTAAACTCTTTTTCTTAATCGATTATGACTGATATGAATTGTGTGGTGGTGGATGTCATTATTTCTTTTTCTTTATTCGCTCCTGTAGGGGGCATGCTAGTACAAGTTTTAGGAGCACTTCTTCAGAATTCATTCAATGTTTTAAAATATTTCTGAAAGTTGGGAATTGTATGACCCAAAAAATGCATTTGTTTGTTTTGAACAGGAAGCTGAGAGAGAGAACGAGAACCTGGTGGTAGTGATTTTAAAATTACAGTGGGGGGATTTACAGGAAGCTATTTAAGTGGTATTTAAGATGACGAGATGGCGACGTTTTATGTCACTGTAGAAACAAACACTGTAGTTTCCTCTTTTTTTCCACTATAAATGTCTCTGCAATCTTGTGAATGTATGTTATACCAATACACTGAAGTTCATCTGACTTTCATAAGATGGGCCTGTCTCATACCAATGCATGCTGAAGCTGATGGCTGTTCATAAATTTCATAGATACTTTCCCATTATAGTTGCAGATTGCTGTTTATGAGCAGTGCTTAAATAACACACGTCAACACAAAGGCGAATAGAAACTATTGTAAATGGTCAAAGTCAAATGCAGAGGGCTTTATTACATGAAAGTATGGTACATACAAAATTTCAAGTAACAAAGAAAGTGTTCTTAGGCTGACACGCTGGACGTAACTAGCTATTCAACATCACAGCCCACTATACCCCCTATCAGCACCGGGTGGCTCTTCTTTGCTCGACGTTGTGTAAAGATTACACTGCTGTTGAGGTCCAAAAGCAGTGCTAGAGCACAAATGAACACTGAGGTGTGTTGGTTTACGGTAACTGAAATTTCAATAACAAAAGACAATGGTGAATAGAAATAAATTTAAGAACTACAAAAATGAAAGTGAAATCATCTGAATGTTTAAATTCTGGCTCTGCATGACTGCTCTTTATGACGTGTACACATTTCTTTCACTTTGTTTCCTATTGTCTTTCACAACAACAACTCACTAAGTTTCTGTCTGACACACACACTCTATGATAAACACCGATTTGAAAACTATGCCCCACTCAGTATTACAAGCTATAGCAAAACAATATAAAACCACTGTCAGTTGAATGAATCCAAGAGCATTAAGAACACATTAGAGCATCACACAGCAGACATGTAATACCGGATTATTATTATTATTTTTTAATAGTGAGCATCCACCAATGAAAATGTCAGTTATGTCCACATCTCTGTCATTGAAATGGGTCTATAACAACGCTGGTATTATCAGTGAGGATATGCATGTTGCATGAATTTGTGTGTCTCAGTTTTTGGTGATAAATACACAAAAAGGAAGGCAAACGTGGAACTCTACTTTAATGTGTACAGCACAAAATCACATTACTTTAGTAGCCTACACACTTAGGGGTATTCACTGTGAACAAAATCAAAGAGTTGGGTGCCATGTGAATCGAAAACATACTTGACTACTAGCCTTATCTTCAGGGGTGTAATTGGATAGGTAGGTGGTTGCAGGGAGAAAGTTACTTGGCATTGGTAGAGCTGCTGACCATCTTGCGAATGGCCTGAGAAATAGCATCACGGTCGATACCGTAGATCTTCAGCAGCTCGTGGGGTTTTCCACTGCGAGGAATGTGGGACACAGCGAGACGGTGCAGACTGAAGCCAGACTCATTGACCATTGCTGAAGACACTGCTTCGCCAAGACCACCTGTGGAAAAACAGCAAAGGAATATATAAAAGACAAATGTGAAAGACAAATCCACTTAAATGCATTTTTAACTGTCTGGTTAATGTGATGTCTTAAGGATGGGACATTTAAGGGTCATCTCAGGCTGTGTGTGTAAAGTCCTAAATTCAGAAGTAAATAAAAAAATGAAATAAAGGTAGCTATATAGAAAAATTATGCCTTTGAATGATATTGTTTTACATTATTTCTTATAGATGTAATAATGTAGCAAGTACTGTATTTGTAATTTTGAAGTACTGCCCAATTGTGTCCAAGAATAAAAACATGGAGCGGGAAGTTCAAGCATATTTGGCTCCCATTACAGTATCCAAAAACACTGAGCCTCTGTGCACACATTACATAAAGGGATAACAAAAAAATCATTACAGCTAAGTGTAAAAATGATCCCCTTGAACGTTGCACCACAACTGTTCCAGATGTACAATGAATGAGATGCACAACATCAGACAAATTACAGTTGTTAGATTTCCTTTGTCCAGCCTCATCCATGCCATCACCCATCCCCTTTCTCTTAGTAGGCACAGGCCAGAGCTGTCTGTGTTATCTAGGTCACAGTCAGCCCCATGGGCACCCGCTTAGCTAAGGAAATCTGACAGCACTCTGCCTCCATGGCTGTCGCACTTACAAAATGCACCACAGTGCCAATACCTTGCCTGCAATGAAGGCACGCGACAGGCGGTCTCAGCCCTCAGCCAATAAGCAATTGCCAGCACAACCCGTCTACATCAGTGAACCAATGGAAACATGCCACCACAACACTCCCAAGGATATGCGCCAATGACGAGGCGCAGCCGCATTATGCTACTGAGCTTGTTGCTGCTTGGTTGGCGATAGGCATGCAATATGCAAAATCCAAGCAACTTCTATATAAACCTACCCTCGTAGTAGTGGTCCTCGACAGTGAGGATCCTTCCCCTGGTAGCACGTGTGTGGTCGATGATCGTTTTGACATCCAAAGGTTTGAGTGTGAAGGGGTCAATCACTCGGACAGAGATCCTCTCTGGAAGATGAAAAATACAATGCATAAAGATACATCATACGGTTAACCGAACCACAGCGATTGAATATAGGATAATATAGCAGTTCTGCCAACCTGATAAAGAAAGCATAGTTTGTGCAAGAAACACAAAAACTAAGATCAGGCTAACATTTAAATGACAAACTGAACACAGAACCATTCAAAACCTATTCTAAGGAACAGCAATGGTCTAACAGATACATTCAAAAAAAAAATAGAGATATAAATCTGACCAGCTAGCAGCGGATTACAATGTTTTTCTTGTAATTGTTCTGGATGTGTTGGCACATATCTTGCGGACCTTTCTTTAGATGTTCAGCTGCAGCAAGGGCCTCGTGCAAAGTCACTCCAGCTGCCACCACAGTGACCTGGTCGTCCTTGCTTTGGTACACCACCTGTCAAAGAGAAGGAAATGTACCCTCTATAAGCTGTAGTGTTTCGAGTGATTATTTTGGAACAATAGTCTGCCATTTCTGCCTCATGTGTTTATCTCTCACTGTCTTAAGAGAAGCACAAATAGTGTCTCACCTTTGCCTGTCCAACATGGAAGTCCTCATTGCTGTTGTAGATGATAGCACAGTCTTGGCGGCTGGTTCGGATGTAGCAAACACCCTAAATGAAAAGGAAAATGAAAAGATCATTACTGCAATAGATGATCATGTAGGGGAGCTGTAACGCTGCCATTTTTGTTTAAGTACCTTTGTGGTTGCAGCCAGTTCCACAGCCTTCTCTGTAGACACACCATCACAGGGATAGAAAATGGTTGCTGTGGGAAGGGCCCTGAACATAGCTACGTCCTCCAGACCCATCAGGGCAGGGCCCTCCTCTCCTGCAACATACACATTTATAGTTGATTTTATGCATTCAACACTGAGGAAATCTTCAAAAGTTATCTACTTGTTAGGTGAGCTGAAGCATGCAGGTGCACAAGCATAAAGTTCGGCTGCATGCAGTGTACCTGCACTAACAGAGGGACACTTGGTTCCCTGTTGACAGCTTCCAGGGCAGACACGAAAGGAGAAAAGGGGGAAGTTTGAGTAATAGCTGTAAGGTCAAGGAGGGTAAATGGCAAGGAAAACACAGCATTAGAGGGGAAAAATAGAAAGGATTGAAACAACTCACAAACTGACACAGACTTCTTTGTATACACTTGTGCATTTATTAAGGAGGCTGTGGATATATTCTGAGGAACTGGGTGCTCTGAAGTGGTTGGATTCAGTGTAAGAGGGGATGAGGGTGAATTTGTGAAGGTGTGAGTTTGGTGACATGTATGAGAAGGGTTTTTATGTGAATTGCTCATTGGCAGCAGTCTACTGACCGGTGGACAGACCGCAGTGAGAGCCGCACAGATTGATGTTGCTTTCTGAGATCGCTGCCATACGAAGCTGGTCATAGGCGCGAGTGAAAAAGGAAGCAAGAGTGCTGGCAAATACCACATTCCTCTCTCGGGCAGCACATCCCATCGCAACGCTGACCTGGGAAATGAAATCATTATTTCTTAGTACCTTTGCGAGCGAGGAAACCTTCATGTGCCAAACTAAAGAGACACAGGCTGCAAGAACGTCACCACAAAAAGATCACCCAGAGGGTAAAATATCTGTAGTGCAAACCATATTTGAAAGCCTCTTTGAACTAAAGACCACAGTAAGCAGAAAGTTTTGCAAAAATCTCTGAAGCTTATTTTACCATATGGACAGGATCAGTGGCATACCTCCTCTTACAAATAATTTCCTTTGTCCTGTCTCCAAACCTTTCCACAGTCCCACATCTTCTCTTCTTTCTCAAAAGTAACATCTGACGCTACATAAATGAATTCAACGAAACTCCATTTGTTTTTGTTTGTAACTAATTAAGTTTTTGTACACTGAAAAACAGAACATGTGGACATTGGTTGCACACAATTGTTTTGCTTTGGCAGACAATTAAACAACTGAGTTAAAAGAAGTAACAGTGCTAACCACCACACCACAAAGCTGTCCTTCCAGGCTTAACAAAAGTAGGAAAGCTATGATTACAAGGCTTGAAACAGAATTTTCTGTTTGTCCTTGACATGTCATCTCAACAAGAACAAATGAAGTTGTTGAATTTCAAACAGATCCAACATGTTTTAATTACATTCACCATAGAAACATGAAATTATTTTGCTCAAATTACAAGTTAGACTTTTGTAAATGCAACAACCAACCAATTTCCTTTTTTTCAGTGTAGGTGAGTCTTGCATATTTTTTTAATTTCATCTCGATTGTACCCTTGAACTTTTGACTTTTCTCATGCATTCAGCCAGATGGTCCCACCCTCTGTAGTGATTAATATTTTACTTCTGAATACACTTGTCATAACTGCTTATCATCATGGAAATGCCTGACCTACATTGAAGCAGGCTGCTGCTGGGGACATGAAAAGACAAGAAATTAGAATTCGATTGTCTCTCTTCAAATTAGGATCTGATAAAATGTTGACCGAAGCAAAATAAAGGGGTTTTCTAACCACTGGTGTCAGCAGCTGCCACATTGATGTAAAAGGAGGAACTTGAGTTTTTTATGTGACTATCCTTATATTACAGGGCAGGTACAGACAAGCCATCTATAATTTAATAACATAAGCTCAGCTCAGCAGCTATGGCAAGCTAGGTTGTGCAGACAGCAAACGAAGAGCAGTTTACGGAGAAGAATCGCTATTAAAAAGCAACTCTGTTACATCTAAAATGAAATGATAGCATTAAACTAAAAGTGACAGAATGATAGGATTCACATCTGTTTTTGAAGAAATATTTTTTATCAAGAAAAAGGCGTAAATTTGACCAAAGATCATACCATGTTTTGCTGAGCAATGTAGCACTCAACAAAACGGTTGGGATGCTCATTCTTAAAGATCTCTGAGTAGGTGAGGTTATTGGTATCTCCATCAAGGGCCACAACACGTTCATTGTAGCGTCCCAGCTTGGCCAGTGCCATTCCGTATGCCTTCCGTGTGGCAATCTGCAGAGAAAAGGAGGCCAAATTCATCAATCTTTTTACAACCTGCAAAGGTTGGATGCTGCAAAAGGAAAAACAGAACACAATGATTTACAAATCCTTTAAACCCTAACCTCCTCTTTAGTTGTACTGAACTGTACTGTTGTACTGAATTCAATTAAAAGTATTCCGATCAACAATTTTTAATAACTGAATTCATGTTAATGTATTAACTGTGAAAATTGTGATAGTTAATTTGTGACAATTTGTTTTATTTGTTTTTTTTCCCTTTATTTTAATATATATCCCAAATTGGCTCTTTACTTCTGTGGAGTGTTTTGCATGCCTAAGTGATCCCAGGAGCTATGTTTTCGAGGAATTTTGCCCTGGTTGGGTCTTCCAAGGCAGTTTAGTTCTGGGTGATGGACCAGATCAAGAGCACCTCTGTGTAGAAAAATCTAGACACAGATGAGCCCCGTTCCCCAAAAGCCAGGCTTGCCGAACACCTGGTTCCCAGGCCTTAGTCCATGGGGCCTGGATCAGCCACATGGGTCCACCCTCCTGTGGGCAGACCACCTGCAGAAGGGGCTGCAGGAAACCCGTGCTTTGTATATTGGGAGGCAGTTGAAACCACAAGCTTTTGAAGGGGGTGTGAATAATATGGACTTTAGGCAACACTGTTTAAAACCAGGACTCTCAATGATGAACACAAACCACATTTTACTGTTCTTATATGAACAAAAGTTGGTTTGGTTAACATTGTCTATGCTTTCATTTTTAATGAATCAGGCTGTCGCTTTTGTGAAAAATCTATTGTGTTTGCTTTGAGTAAATGCAAATTCAAAACATTTGCTACAATCAAACATGATATATTTATATACCAATTGGTTTTAATTGCTACTTCATAGACGCACAAGTTCAAGTATGATTGCTTTTGAATTCTTGTCTTGATCATACACATCTTACACATATTTATTCTTTTATTTATACTTAAATTTATGCTCTAACATATCCTTTTGCTTATGTAGATTCCCACAGAGTGGTGATCATGTCTAACCTCCCCTTTTGTTGTCCCTGCACTGAATTAGTTTCCATAATTAAATGTTAAATGGACTGATTCTTATATAGTGCTTTACTACTCTCCCAGAGCCCTCAAAGCACTTTATAAGACATGCTTTAGTCACACCTATCATACAAGCACCTTTTTCTATGCTTAAGTGCTTTCCATCTAACATTCCTACTCTGATGGATGCATTGGTTAGTATCTTGCCCAAGGATATTTGGCATGCAGACTGGAGCATGCAGGGATCAAACCACCAATCTTCCGATTAGTAGATGGCCTGCTCTACTTCCTGAGCTACAGCCACCCCATACTTGGCTCAAACTTCACAGTTTCTGTGCATTTCTTTGTAATATTTTCAGTTAACCACAGAGTTTGTATGATTTGCAAATGTCTGATCTAAACTTATTTACATTTCATACAACATTCCAACTCTTTTGTAGACACGGTTGTTTGGGATTCATTCATTCATTCATTGCTACCTGGAGAATAAAGTATTTGTATTCATGTCCACTTTACAGACCTTTTCTCCAGCCTTGTAGCTGGGTGCGCTTGGCATCCTGATGTTTCTTAGGCTGACAGGTGGGGAGTCCTCAATAGGAGCAGGTGGGTACAGGTGCTTGCTGCTACTCATGATACGGCTCTGCAGATCCTTCATGACCATGTCAGCCATGTCTTTGGGCAGAGTTTTGGCGTGCCAACCCAGCTTATCCTCTGCAGCTGAAAACACAAAAAAATGCTCTTATGTTCATTTAATTCATATGCACACATACATTACTCGGTAGGTGCCATTCAAACTGCAAAACTGCAGTGTACTTTTGAATATCATTTATTTTAAAATGAGTGCAAAGGGTGCAAAGATGAAAGACAATATTTACCTGGAATGCCTTTGCCCTTAATGGTTTTGGCTATGATGGCAGTGGGTTGGTGGCATGGCTGGCTCAGAGCCTTGCAAAGCTCCTCTACGCTGTGTCCGTCGACAATGATAGCATGCCAGCTATAGACACACACATGAAAAGGCTTTCGGTATGTCTCACACATATTTATGTGAAATATAGGAAATAAGAAATACGTAAATATGTGAAATACAGAAAATATAGGAAAATACAGTCTTCCTTCAGAGCTTATACCATAAACGGATGCTAACCAGCCTCTAAATCAGTATGGATTTCTCATATGCAATTTTACCCAAAGGCTTCACAACGCTTCTGATATTTTTCTACGTGATGCTGCAAGGGTGCAGGGTCACTCTGGCCAAGACGGTTGATGTCCATAATGGCCACCAGGTTGTCAAGCTGGTAGTAGGAGGCAAATGACATGGCCTCCCAGACAGCCCCCTCTGACATCTCACCATCCCCCAGCAGACAGAAGACACGGTAACTGGAGAACAAGCCAAGATTACATGATTATACTGTGCATACTGTATTTGTGTTTTATGTTTGTGTAGATGAGGGTGATGTGTTGTGGATGTGAGAAAAAAAAGTCATATCTGAGGAAAACGCCTTTCCAGTCAGGCTTGTTTTATCGCCATTATCTGACACCTGGATGGGTAATCAGCTGTGACGTGTTTAAGCTTCCTGAGGGCTGAGATGTGACTACTTAATTTCACACCTACCTTTGTAACTTACTTTGCCATAAGAGCCAAATAGTGTTTAACTAAGACCATTTTTTGTACTGTTATTCACCTATTAATCACACACGGTCTGAAATATTAGCAGATGAATCAAATGTCATCAAAGTAGCTGCTTATACAAAGGAATATTAAAATATGACAGCGTTCCACTTTTGTGGCAACTTAAAACAAATAAACAGTCTACGGCATAATATCTGGATTTTACTCCAAAATGAAATCTGCTTGGGTGGTAAAAATATCTCAGGCGTGACTGCTGCGCCTGTGATTATTAGAGCAGAAGAATTGTTAGAGCAGATCATGTAGCTGCAGTATACACCCACAGAATGAAAGAAAATCCTAATTCAAAGCACTACAAAAAAAATACGATGCAACGCTGTGTCAATAATTTAAACAACTGAGTTGATATTTTCATGTAAAGCTGCAAAAACACCTTTTTTTCCCATAGGTGTTTTGTGTATTGCGTGTGGACAAGGAATTACCTGGATTTGTCAAAATATTTCCCAGTGTAAGCCATTCCACAGGCCACACCAAGACCCTGCCCCAGCGATCCAGTGGCGACATCCACAAATTGTTGTTTCTGAAATGTACACAGATCAAATAAATCAATAAACTCTGAGTAGAGTTTGTGCTCTTTGAGTCCTGAGGTGTGTTATAGGTACAGTATGTGGCGGCTTACGGGGGTTGGGTGCCCCTCCAGGGTAGAGTCAACCTGGCATAAACTGAGCAATTCGCTCTCCTTGAGAAAACCTGTTTCAACCCATATGGAGTACAACGCAGGAGCAGCATGACCCTGAGATAGACATGAAAAGAAGCAAGGCATTACAATTACAAAAGGAACAGAGGCTCTCATATTCAGACCAGCGGAGCTTACTGACTCTCACCTTAGACAGGATAAAGCGGTCGTTGTTGAAGTTTCTTGGGTCTTCAGGGCGGTACTTCATAGTGTGGAAGAAAAGCACAGACATGATTTCTGCCACACTGCAGCATGACGTGGGATATCTGCACAGTGTATGAGAGGGTGCTATTAAAATGAATCCAAATAAACAGCAAACTCAAAAACACAGAAAATACAGGTTAAACTTTAATATGTTTATTATTAGTAGCCTACTGTATTTGCATAAAATCCACTATAGCTATACATTTATGGTACTGTCCCAAAAGGCTGCAGTATCACTCTAGGTAAAGCTATCACAAAGCACACTTAATTAGCTAAAATTTCAGCTTGAGATGCCAAATGAAGATTCTATTCAAAAGAGTGCAACACAAAAAAGTCAAAAACACCACTTCAAATTGCTTTTGCAAAGACAATCACACAGAGACCTGTAAACTGTTAGTATATGCTGCCCAAAATTAATTGTAGCATTAAAATATGTTGCATCTATAAATAATTGGCATTAATGCATTATATTAAACCGCCAACTTCTGTCACAAAGAAATCACAAATTCCAGCTCCATGGAGTCTGAAGGCAAGTATTTTGCTGTGTTCAGCTCGTTGCTATCCTTTCCATCTTTCCAAGCATTCGAGATCAATAAGTCATTAATTCTAATAAGTCTTGGAATATTTTAAGTCAAGTAATATTTCTCGGTGCTCAGTGTTTTTCTTTTCATATCACTGTAGGCTTAACACTGCAGAATTGTGCAATGTGGAGTTAGGCTCCGATAAAATAATTTTCTTGCTATTCAAAATTAGACATTCATAATCAATAAGAGCTCGAAGGAGAAATTATATTAAAGATTACAGGCAGCTTTTCATTGAAATTTCCATTGAAGAGGATCGCATGATTGCAGCGGCCACACAGTACTCGAGTCTATTGCTACGTACAGTTCACCCACCATTATACTATACAGGGTAGTCTGCTCTGTTGAATTGTTCATAGGGGTATATCTAGTAAAATAGATGATTATAGACAATTATTATCTTGTAACCAAAGTAAATGTAAAAAAAAATCAAATAACCTAAATTCTGTTGATGTCACCCTGATCTGTTCATGTTTTTCATTCATTTCTGCTTGCACATCAAAGATTTGGAATTTTTTTAAACAATTGTGTATCTCTAATATGCTATAAATAAAGTATAATTACACGGAAATAACACAATGTAGATATTTACATTTTCTGAGATAAAATGCTAAAATTATTTCAGCCAAATCTAAATTTGTCAAAGGAGGAGAACAAAAGCAGAACACATTGTTCCTTACATCCTAATCTGTTCATGCATAGTTCATTGGGTGTGACTATTTCTGTTGATGAGTGCACGATGCAAAGGAAAACTAGGTTTTGCATTATGTTATGTACACATTTCTTATGTTTATATGTGCAGTTCATTTACAATCTTACAGCAAAGCTCGTGTGCAAGAATCAGTAAATGCAACTTACCCGCTGCCCGCTCCAGTTGTTGCCTTGATCGAGTTGATTCGGAGGCGGTTGGCGATGTTCCTCAGTGCTTGCACTGTCTGCTGGTCAGGTTTGTGGTAATCCTCCATGAAGGCGATATATTGAGTTTTAAAGCACCAGAAAAATGGACCAACTACAATCCTCTGTTGAATTTGTGTGGTTTTAATATGTGTGTGTGCGTGTGTGTGTGTGTGTGTGTTGCCAAAGAGCAAAGCTAGTGTGAGTGTGTGAGTTATAGAGGCAGGCAGAAAGAGAGATAGAAACGAGGAGAAACTGGATTTAACCTACCAGGCATGTACACACATGGATGCACAGGGACACACACACATACACACACACACACGCTGACAGACACAAAGGAGGAGGAACCCAGTGACGTGCACTGGGCGTTACTGCTAAAATACAACGGCATACACCAAAACTATATACCTTTTACCAGACTATGTTTTGACAGCTAAGGTCACAAAAGGTTGTGAAAGATCCCAGAGGGTAATTTTAAAAAAATGTGTCTGTGTTACAGTTCAATTCTATCCATCCTACAAATCATAGAGCTGTGTTTAACCACATGTCCTGCCTATTTAGTTATGGGTGAGTGCATGCAGTCTATCAGTGTGATAAGGTTAAGAAAAACAAAACAAAAAACTCTTGTCTTAGAGTGTGAATAAATACATTAACAAGGAAGAGGAGCGCCTAAAAATCAAAATGATGCCTTCCTCGTCCTTGGTTTGTGACACGACTGATGATGTACTGAGAAACTTTACCTCGGGAAGGCTGTGATATTTCTCTGCCATATCTAGTTGCTACCAACAGAGTCTCTTCTAGATGAGTGGTGCTCAGAGTCTTGTCCAATGAGTGGAAGATGGGGAAACATGTCCAAGGGGGATTCTGTCTGTACCTGGTGGGTGAGACTCTGGGAAGAGGTCTTTTGTGATTGGGTAGTGTTAAAACTTACCTCATTTGGAGTGGTTAAGCGATTTGTGGATAAAGAAAAAGAGGACATAACTGTGTCTGTTAACATCCGAGATTGTGTACCTTCACTAGCAACTTAGAGCTCTTTGGAAGGAAGATGGCAGGGATAGCTCAGTAGGTAGAGTGATCAGAAGAATCCACTGAACGGCTACCCTGAGGTACCCCTGAGCAAGGTACCGTCCCTACACACTGCTCCCCGGGCGCTGGATTGGTGCCTGCCCACTGCTTCACTGAGTGAATTGGTTAAATGCAGAGAAGTAATTCCCCTACGCAGATTAATAAAGTATACATTACATTCATAGTGCTAAAAATGTTTCTTATTTTATATTCAAAAACACTTCCCCAGGCCGATGGCTTCCATCCAAGCCAAAGATGTGAGTCTGTCGAGGAGACTGCCTCAGAGTACTTTGCTCTGGAGTGTTTCATCAGACTGCAAGGTGTTCAAGACTATGTTAATCATGCTGGTGGATGCTTGAGTCAGGAAGGTGGAGGAAGTTGGTGGAAATATCACTTCACTCTTCTAAAGATGTCACAATTGAAATTAGACAGTAATGGTGACAAAACATTTTTTTCCTACAGAATCATCATCAGTGTTGGTCAAGTTACTTGAAAAAAGTAATCAGTAACTAATTACTGATTACTTCCCCCAAAAAGTAATCCCATTACTTTACTGATTACTTATTTTCAAAAGTAATTAATTACTTAGTTACTTAGTTACTTTTTAAAAACACAATTTACAACCTGAAGAGGTGATAAAGTGATAGATCTTTCAGCCCTACTACTATTCTACTTTTTCTACATAATCCATCATACAAAATGTAATCAAATGGAAAAGTCTCTTTTTTTAACTTGTTTTATCAGTTTTAATCTTTTAACTTTATGCATCAAGCAAAAATGTAATTATATGCAACATTCTCTGACTTGAATAAATTAGTTTAACATTTAAACCTATTTTCTGCACATTCCAGGACATAAAATAAAATATTTTTTGTGTTTACACTCACTCTTTCAAATAGATGCAAGTAAAACACAGCAGAAAATAAATAAAGTCAAAGACTAGCGGTCCTGTTGCTCTATTTTCACCTGTAAAGCAGGACTGCGGTAGGCGGAGGTTTACCCTGGTGCAGGTGTGCCGCGGTCAGTTGAAGAATCCGCGAGTTTCTCTGTGAGTTTCCCATTACGTCGTTGCGCACTCGGTGCTTGCTTGGAAGTTTAGGGGGTTTTTTCGCTGTAAAAAGCAGTTTTCTTCCCACGATGGACACTAATGTTTTTGTCACTTTTTATGGAATCAAACTCAAAGTAAGGTCAGTACTTCCACGCTTTAAACGCTGCATGCTCATACGCTCTCCCACAATCAATATGATCTGCACACAGCTGTTGTCACTAACGGCGCACTCGCTTACGTCACTGTCGTGAAACATTCTCGCAAAAAATCACGGTTTTAGTAACGCAGTAACGCAGCGTTCCTACGGGAAAGTAACGGTAATCTAATTACCGTTTTTGCAATAGTAATCCCTTACTTTACTCGTTACTTGAAAAAAGTAATCAGATTACAGTAACGCGTTACCATCTCTGATCATCATACATCTTCAGCACCTGCTAAAGCATTAATAAGGAAACATCTTTGAAGGTGGTTACATCAAGACAGAAGCTTACACCTTTTCACTTTCCAGCTAGCCATCCAGATATTAATGATGCTGAAAAGAATGATGGGGATTAACTGTATCATCTGCAGGAAAACTCTGATAGACCACTGGAGGAACTGCGGGGAGCCAGCTAAATTTTCATCTGCAAATTCTGACACCTCCCTCCAGCCCTACAGCTTCATTCTCAAACTCTATCCACCCAAAAGCAATTTAACCTTACCGTTATTCCTCTCCACCTCTGCCAGACTCTGATAATACAATGGAGGACTCTCAGCTACCTTCAGGTCAAGGTTCCTCACCTCTGTTTACAGATCTACCAGCTCATCCACTTCATCGTTTTTATTTTACTGTGGTAAAAGAGGAAGATCCCTGTAGCTCCACAGTGTAGAGATTTACATATTTCTCTTACAGTTTGTTCCTGGGAGGAGGCACCAATTCATTTGGAGTTGTGAGAAGGGAATCCAGTGTAAAAACTCTCGTGGAGCTACATGGTGTGGTGACCCATTGTGAAAACTACAAATCCCTTTTTCTTCTTGAAGAGGAAGATCCTGCTGAAGGATTTACTGGAGGTTTTGATACTTTGTGCACTGTATAAAGGCTGCATGTGGTGATAAAAAAAACAAAAACAAGATCAAAACTCTTGAAGCATTAAACCAAACATTTGTATTATTATAACAACCTGACTTATCGTGTTGTTCAGAAAGCTAATTTTGGGAAAAGAGGAAGACCAAAGAGAAGATTCATGGATGTGGTGAAGAAGGGTTATAGAGTTGGTGTGACAAAAGAGGAGGCTAGGGATAGGGTGGTAGTACCACAGTTCCTCTCTTGGTCTTCTATCAAATGCTTTCTCTAGATCCACAAAGACCTTCTCTGTACTTCTCCATCAACACTCAAAGCAAACATCACCTATGTAATGCTCTTAAAGCCACTCTGCTGCTTGCTGATTGTCACCTCTTTTCTTAACTTACCTTCAACAGCTCTTTCCCACAATTTATGGTATGCCTAATCAGCTCTATCCTCCTGTAGTTACTAACGTTCTGCACATCACCCTCGTTCCTGAAAATCAGTATACTTGTTCTCCATTCCTCTCACTCCCCAAAACTGTGCTAAACCTGGTCAAAAAGTCCTCTTTCTTAAACTTGTTCAACAGGTCTTATGCCTCTTTCTTTGAACACTTTCCTGTACTTCTTCATTCCACCACCAAGTCCTTGTTCTCCTGTCCACAGGATGTAACACTTACTTGGAAGTTTCCCACAACTGTACTACAGGCAAGATAAACTTTACTCGTCACGATGAGACTTCTTCCCTTTCTCTGTCAGTCCCTGCATCCTGACATGTCTCCAGTTGTCCCAAGTTCCCTCTGACTGTCTCCTTGGTGCATTTAAACCCCTGTTCCTCCCTGTCCCTGAGATTCACTTTTAATGTGTATGTATAATACAATACAGATAAATGAAAATAGAGTCCTTGAAATGTACAAAATATTGATAAAAACAATTATCAAAATGGAGGCAACTTTGCCTGTGGTACAATGTATACTATGTATGAAAAGACCTTTACTACAGATACTACTATGGCTCTGCAGATTTTTTATTTTATTTTAACCTGTGTCGCCTCACCTTGAGGTTGGCAAATCTGTCTATCACTTTTTGGTGATCAACTCTCTCAAGCAGTTTAACAGTTTCTGTTGTGCCTGTCACTGTTCCCTGTCTGTTTTCTTACCTGGTTCTTCCTGACCTTGTACTTTCTCCTCACGTTCCCCTCTGTCCTCTCTCCTTCTTTGGACTGACAATCATACACATATAGATTGTATTCAATTAGATGAAAAAATTACATCAATATGAAAAAAATATATTATTAAGATCACTAATAAAAAAAAAAAGTCCTCTCTCAGTGTACTTTCAACCAAAAGGCAAATAACCAAACCACATGTACATCTAATAAAAGATATAAATATTGAAACACTGATCCAACATTATTCTTGATTGACGGATCATTTGCTCTTACAGTTTTACCTGAATGTTGTTCCTGGGTTTAATATGGGCACATGCACATATGACAAAATAACCAACTTCTCTCATTCCATTTCAAACAGGACAGTATCAACAACAGTAAGCTACAGACAATTTAAAGTTTTAGATTTTAAATAGGCTGTATAAATTTCGATGGGAGCAACATGTCGACGGTCAAATGTGGCTGATTTTACTACAGAGCAGGACGGACTGTAGGGTAGCAAACATTGTTGGAAAACACGTTTCCAACACTGCAGGGTACCTGGTGTAATGTTTTTCAGCTAAAAAGAAACATGGTCTGACTCCTACCTAACTATATAAAGAGTAACTGAAGGTTAAATGCAGCTAATATGTCCTGTTTTAAGCCAGGCTCCGCTGTCTCAGCCACCAAGGGGCGCTGGAGCCAGAGTAGGGGAGAGGCGAGCTGGAACAAACCATTTTGGGAGGGGGGGGGGGGGATATCTATACTTTTGTTGTTAAAATGTTATGTCACAACCAAGTACTGAATGCTTTTTTATATTTTTAGTAGTGTGTCACACAAACAGCAAATATTGTAAAAAAAGAAAAAAAAAAAAAAGAGTAAGAAATCTTTGGGGGTGCTTTGATTCTTTGATTCATACCCCCCAAAATGGGCTAAAATCGCCCCTGATCT